TTTCATATATCCTAGCGCAACTACCTTGGTCACCATTTGAACTGCGAATGCGCCCGCCCCAAGATCCTTTGCGGCTGCCAGAGACTCTTCAGATGTTCGGACGGGAGCACGTAGAGAAGACACAGGTAAGTTTAAACCCTTTTAAAAAAAAAATGTTTTTGCATATATCTACTTGCTAGCCGTATATGCAAAAACCGCTGAGGGTTTGATAATCCTTTAACCCGTGAAAACTGCAATTGTGAGTAATACTCATTAACCTGTACAGCTCAGGGTCTAAAGCAGCGATTCTCAACCTGTGGGTCGGGACCCCGTCAGGGGTCGAACGGCGATTTGCCAGGGGGTCGCTAGATTCCTATTGGCTATTTTACTTTGCAATAGCCAATAGCAAACTAGCTATTGCACCGGCCCTCTGCTGCTGCCAATCAGCAGAGGGGGGCCTGAAGTTCGCCATCAGGTCCTCTTCTAGTGATTGACAGCAGCAGAGGGTGGGTGCAATAGATAGTTTGCTATTGGCTATTGCAAAGTAAAATAGCCAGTAGGAATCTAGCTATGCATTCCTATTCTGTTTTTTATAATTATTATTCTGACGGTGTACGGCGTACACTTAGCACAGCCGGCCCCGCCCACCCCAGGAGCTGGTCACATGACTATGACACACACCGCAAGGTCCTCCGGCATAGTAGAGTGTGGAGGGAGGAGTACAGACTGGAGAAGGGAAAGTAAGTATATCATATCTGGGGTAACTCTTATGGTTTACACTGAACTCTATGGGCTGCTCTGTCAGTGACAGTACTGCAGAGTATGTACCTCATACGTTATATAGCCACACACTTTAAATCCAATTCTTCTAGTTCCAGCTGCAGAGCCCGGTCCTGTTTTTGCCTATAGCAACGGTTCTAAACCCACGGGTCGCTGTGTGATTTCTGCTGTGCTAGGTGAGAGTCCTCCTCAGCCCTCTCCTAGCGCAGCAGTGTCAGTTCTCGCGCCACGCCGCCAGATGTCGCTGCAGCAGCCGCGTCATCCCTACATTTTACTGTTGGGGGTCACCACAACTTGGCAAATGTTACCAAGGTGTCCCCCGGCCCTAGAAAGGTTGAGAACCACTAGTCTAAAGACTTGTTATTCAGTCATTGAGCTGCATGTGTTTCCTCTAGTTATCTCGGTGCTCCAAGAAACTGCTGCTTTTTTCTGCACCCGGGACTATTCAAAAGACGTTATCATTGAGCTTGGACTACACGGTTAACAGGAATTCGCTCATAAACCAGACCCATATATCATGGTCGGCTCTAAATGATACATTCCCGGGATTTTTTGTACATGAAATTCACCTCTCAGGGCTCCACCAGCCATCAATAATGAATGGTCTTTGGTAGCCTGGCTGCATGAATGGTTAGTTTGAGTCTGATGGACAACGTTGTCTATTGTTTTTAATCTGGTGTTTGGATTAGTAACAGTGCAGCGTGCTTCCCATCATTTGTTACATTTTATATATTTTCTAATAAAATTGTTTTATATTTTTGATACTTTTTGCAACTCCGATCCTAATTTAAAACGACTTTGCTCTGTGCCCCTTAGTGGGCCAGAATTTTCTGCATGTTCTAATTTCAGTCTTGGATTGTTGAGTTTAACAAACTTTCACTTCATTCGAAGTGGGAAAGGGGTAAAAATCTCATTAGGTGTTCCTGTCTCTGGATGAGCACATATTCGGGGCTATTCACAAAAGGGGGAAGAGTTTGGAGGAGGCAGGAGAAGTGAACAACAGCGGGTGTCCCACACCACATGCAGGTAGCCACAGGGGAGGACCAAATACAGGACCACACCAGAAACTGCCACTGAGCTTATATACCGTTTATTATACACACCAAAACATAACACAAATAACCCCACCAACACCCAAAAGTAACCACAAACATGTAATAGTAACTGACTAAATGTAAACACAAGCACATACAAAAGGGAACAAGGCAAGTAAACCCAGGGAGCATAGAACCACAAGGGGAGGCAAGGGTCAAGGTAAAGGAACAAGGAGGTAACAGGACTCAGGACTAAGGATGGGCTCGTGCGTGTTCGCATCTCCATGTGCCGAGCCCGCCAGGAAGCTGACAGCGCCAATCACAGGTACTGAGACATTATCCCGGTCCGCAGCTGCAGAGATCAGGACATGTCTCAGTGCCTGTGATTGGCGCTGCGTGCTGTCAGCTTCCTGGCATCCTTAAGGTGCCCATACACCTTACAACCATCGAAAGACTTTGGTCTTGCGATGGTTGTAAGCTAATTAAAAGCTCGTACCATCTGCCCATCTTGGACAGGCAGATCGTACTTGCAATCACCTCCTTCACCACCTACCCACTGGCTCTTAGGTCGCCAGCCCGGGCCCCGCCTCCTCCTTCACTGCGAACGCTGGCCTCTTCTGCAGCAGCTGCTGGCTCTCACTGACACAGGTCCGTAGCGTCTGTTCCTCTTCACCGCCGCTGCTGAGCTGTGTCAGTGACAGCCAGAAACTTGATATGCCATAGCGACCCAGGTGGCCCACACGGCATCAGAGGGATGCCTTGGCCGGGCCCCCCTGTGCCCGGGCCCCATATAGGCCGCCTGGGTCGCTATGGCGATTGTTACGCCACTGGCTCAGAGATATGTTTGGGGAAAAGATAAAGTTTGGGAGCACCCTTCCGGAATGCTCTCTTCTCTAGGACTTCTTTCTGGGTGGAGGCCTGTGTGAGGATCTATTGTCAGGGCCTGGCCTCAGCATGTACCATGTGTTATGGGCCCTGGATTCACCACCCACACATCCAGGAATCTTATAGATGGGACAAAAGCTAGTTGGTGCATGAGAAAGACTGTGACTGCTCTTGATGCTCCAAAGATGTATCTGGCTGCCCTCTGTCTATCAGTATCTACTTTTGAAGGTTGCTCTCGCAGGACCTGTTGCTGCTACAATTTCAGAATAATCTGTCCTCCATTTGTTGTGCTTTTGGGTTGTCCTGCATCCCCAAACACTCCTTATGTTCAGCAATAAATAGTCAAAAGAGCCTGAGACTCGAGTCTGATTATTGCCAGAAGCTGTCGGTTCGCTTTGATCAAGAAAGAGGGCAGGCAACTCTTAAAAGGTTAGTTCTCTTTTTTTTAAAACAACAATATTTGTAAAAGCTGATTAGTCCATAGTTATACAATGGGGCTCATGGACTGCATAGGTTATTTAAATAATTAAATCATTTACTAATTTATTAATACATATTTAATAAAATTTTAAATGTAATAATTTATTAAAATGGCACAAATGCTGTGGTATGAGCAGGGCCGGATTTACTCTCTCTGCTGCCCCAAGGCCAAGTTCCTCCTGCGGAAGATCACCCCACCATCTGCCCAACAATGTTGCGGTGAAACACGAGCTGCTGCTGCTCTCAGCAGAGGCTGCCATTCTGGCCGTCCAGGATCCTGAAATGGTTGAGGGTCCTGGTCAACTGTCCAGCTCTTCCCCACCCCCACCCTATATTAATGGCCCTGACTGTTTTAAATGTTTGACTGTACTTTCTCTCACAGTGGTAGGAAAGTTAAAATGAGCTTCTGTAACCCTCAAGAACCATTTAAAGCCAATTACACCCTTAAAATCACTAATATACAGTATATATAATTATCTTCCGCAGTTCCACTCAACATCATCTGCTGACCTTTGTCACACACCAATGAATAAAGTTTTCTTTCTTTATTGAACCATAATGAACGTAGACTCACCATCGACAAAATGCTTGAATGAAAATGTTTAATGTCAGTTTTGAATAATCACACTTTCTGTTTATAAAACTGACTCAATAAAACAGCAAATTATTACTTTTATTACTGTCGGTGGAACTTTATTTGAGGCTGCTGTATACATAATCACCGAAGACCTGAACTTCACACAGCTGAAGGAATTCGGATTTTCCTCGTAAAATGATATTGACGAAGCGACCAACCATGCCATCACACCTGAAGGTCTGTGTTCCTCCAGTGGGAATTGAAGTCACTGTTGCACACCTGTGTAAATGATATCGTTGTTACTTTATCATTCTTGATAATAAAAATATCATTTTATAGGATGGCCTTAAAGGATAAGAAGGGCCTAATATGGGAGAAGGGAGAGGAGGAGGACATTAGATGGCCTTATAAGGATAAGAAGTACTCAATGTCGCCCGAAGAAGGAGAAAGAGGTAATTAGGAGGTCCTAAAGGAAAAGAAGGGCCCAATGTGGCAGAAGGGGAAGGAGGTGGTCATTAGATGGCCTTATAAGGATAAGAAGGGCCCAATGTGGCAGAAGGGGAAGGAGGAGGTCATTAGATGGCCTTATAAGGATAAGAAGTACTCAATGTCGCCCGAGGAAGGAGAAAGAGGTAATTAGGAGGTCCTAAAGGATAAGAAGGGCCCGATGTGGCAGAAGGGGAAGGAGGAGGTCATTAGATGGCCTTATAAGGATAAGAAGGGCCCAATGTGGCAGAAGGGGAAGGAGGAGGTCATTAGATGGCCTTATAAGGATAAGAAGGACTCAATGTAGCCCGAAGAAGGAGAAAGAGGTAATTAGATGGTCCTAAAGGATTAGAAGGGCACAATGTGGCAGAAGGGGAAGGAGGAGGTCATTAGATGGCCTTATAAGGATAAGAAGGACCCAATGTGGCAGAAGGGGAAGGAGGAGGTAATTAGGTGGACCTAAAGGATAAGAAGGGCTCAATATGGGAGAAGGGGATGGAGAAGTTCATTAGAAGGCCTTAAAGGATAAGAAGAACTCAAAGTGGCAAAAGTGGGAGGAGGAAGTCATTTGATGGCCTTAAAAGATGAGAAGGTCCCAATGTGGGAAAAGCCAGTATAGTTGATGTTCTCTAGAAGTACATATAGCAGGCAGGAGGTGGGGCAGTAACACTGGGTCAGCAGAATTGTTCCGAAAACTGTTGTCATCCTTAATAATAATGGAATAATACCTATGTGACCCATACCCATTTGTTATCATAAACTGGAGAGTCATCCTCCTTAATCCCAGCAGACAGGGAAGATCTAAAGCTATAAAAGTAGCCAACAACTAGTAGAAGTGATTTGTTAATTTGTGACAAAGACCAATGTGTGACTTGTTCCTGCTTGGCACTGGTCTAATGAATCATGGAATTGAATACAGAAGGTCTACCACTGTGACTGAGCTTTCAATCACCAAACATGCTGAATAAAAAGTAAACACTGGAGGAAATCATAAATTATGCTAATGAACATTAGGAACTTCCTGTTTCCTGTCGAGTACATTGGAGGGTTCTTGCACACATTCGGCTTTACTCCCTTTACACCAACTTTATTCCCTCAGCTCTCCTCATTCCACCGTTCTTGGCCCTTCTACTCATTCTTACACTTCTGATCTCACGCACTGTCATCCTAAAGCTATACTCCACTGTGCTCCTTGTCTCTGACTGGTTTCCATCAAAGTGTCTCTGCTCCTGTACTCTGTGGCCATTCTTCCTTGCTCTCCTCCTATGGTTTACTCACTCTGCTAAGCTGTTCCTGTTTGCAATATGCCCCACACTGTTCCATAATTGTTTAGCACGTATCTCCTAAATTTCCAACCCTTTCTCTCTCTTCAAGCTTCCATTAAAATCCCTGTTTGTTCTGTCCACCTTCTGTGCACCCCCTCCATCACATACTTTGCATAAGCCTTAACTCTCAAGACCAGATCCTCGTTATTCTAGGCCCCTACATTCTGGTATTACATTTTTACCAAGCCCACCTCAAAAACATTGGCTCTTGTTCCCCTGCCCCTTTCCTTGTCGCCTCTCAATCCTGCCCCACCATTATCTTCTATGCTCTCCCCATCCACCACCACCTCCAAATGCCACCCCACCTTCAACTTCCAACCTCTCCCCTTCTACCAACACCTCCCAATCCTACCCAACCATAAACTCCTGTCTGCACCCCTTCCACCATTACCTCCCCGTCCTCAGATCCTGCTTCTTCCCTATTAAATAACTGTGCACTCCGTATAAGATCAAAGCACTATTTTTGAGAAAATGTATTCTGTGTCTGAGAAACATCTGCCCTGCAGTTCCTGTGCTCGCCTGTGGGTGTCTCCCAGCTGCCAGCACTTAGCCATCACCTGGTGCTTCCTGGGAGGGTATTCAAACCGTCAGGACTATGACTATCCTGAGTCCTGAGCCCTGTTACCTGCTTATGTTCCTGAGTCCTGTTGCCATTGCCTGCTTATAGACTTAAGTCCTGTTACCTGCTTGTAATCCTCTTCCTATTACCTGTTTGTAGTCCTGTTGCCATTACCTGTTTATAGTCCTGTTGCTGTTACCTATTTCCAGACCAAAGTCCTGTTACCTACCTGTACACTGACACTTCGTCCCTTGGATCCCCTGGCCATTCCTGTTATATTTTGAAGGTGTTTGTGGTTCTTTTGGGTTGGTATCACATTATTTATACCTGCTTGCTTTTGGGTGTTTCATTTGGTTTTGCTGGTTACAAATAAACTGTATATAACACATTTGCTTTGTCCGGTGTGGTCATACGTGTTTGGTCTTCCCGTGTGGGTACCTGCATACGGTGTGGGGACACCTGTGCACGGATCCATGACATATACTCAACAATATATCTTTTACAGTTCAGAATTTAAATAAGAGTACAAGTTTACTTTTAGAAATGTTAAGTCATAATGACCCTGAAAGGAGCTGCCATGTTTACTCAGGTTGAGTAATAGTTGAGATTCAGCTCTAAACCCCACACATCAGTAGTTACAATAGAAACACAACCCATGATGCCATTTAAACTTCAACTTCTAAAGCAAAAATACTTTCTTGTGTTATAAGAGGTTTATACCCCAGATAGAGATATGTAATCTGCCCTATACAAAGCAATTACTAAGACGACATCTGTCATCATCCTTCCTTGTATTATAAGAGGTATAGACTCCAGAGAGAGAGAGAGAGAGAGACCTAATCTGCCTCTATACAAAGTATTAGTAAGACCTCATATATCTTCATCCTTCCTTGTATTATAAGAGGTATAGACTCCAGAGAGAGGGACATAATCTGCCTTATGCAAAACATTAGTAAGACCTTATCTGTCTCCATCCTTCCTTGTATTATAGGAGGTATAGACTCCAGAGAGGAGGAAATGTAATCTGCCCTTATACAAAGCATTGGTGAGACCTCATCTGTCTTTATCCTTCCTTGTATTATAAGAGGTATAGACTCCAGAGAGAAGGAGATATAATCTGCCCTATACAAAGCATTGGTAAGACCTCATCTGTCTCCATCCTTCCTTGTATTATAAGAGCTATAGACTCCCAAGAGAAGGAGATTCAATCTGTCCTATACAAGGCATTAGTAAGAACTCATCTTGAATATGCAGTTCTGTTTCAGCCTTCAGTTCACAAAAGGTATGTTGTGGAACTGGAGAGAGTGCAAAGAAGGGCAACTAAACTGATAAGAGGCCATAGAGGAGCCCATCTATGAGGAAAGATTAGATAAACTGAAATTATTCTCTCTTGAGAAGAGGTGACTAAGGGGGAGATATGACCACCATGTATACATATAGTATATAAATGGTCCATATAGTGAACATAGTGCAAAGTTATTCACTTTAAGGTCATTGCAAAGGACAAGGGGGCACTCTTTGCGTCTGGAGAAAAGAAGAGGTTTACCCTTTGCAGATAGAAATACTTCTTCACAGAAATAGCTGTAAAAATGTGAAATGGACTACAACAGGAACTAGTTCTAGCTAGCTCAATTGATTAATTAAATAAAATGCTGGATGTACTGTATTCCTAAATACACAGAATGTGTTTGGATATTAACATAAAGAAGTGACAACACCAGAAACTGTTGATCCATAGAACATGCGATTTCCTTAGGTGATCAGGAAGGATTTTCATTCCCCTGTTTCAGCAAACTGGACCATTCTTTATAGGGTTGTTTGCCTTCCTCTGTATCAGCTGTGGGTATGAGGTTCTGTAGATGTACGCTTATTATTTTTTTCTATTGGTTGAACTCGATGGACTAACAATGCAATCATGTTAAGCGGCAGTTAGAGGCTTATTTAAAAAGCACAGTGGTATGACTCCCCTGCACATTTCTAAATCACAGCAATCTGGTTTAAATGTGCTCTGCGCTGCACCAGCTTTGGGACTCTGATAATAAAATGATTTGGGTACCATTCCATGACCGAGTATTTGTCAGTGAAACGATCAGAGCACTGAAAAGTGAAAAAAGGTAATGAAGGGGTATATACCAGCAGGTACTCAAGTGGATGAAGAGGAGAAAATGAAGGCCTTAGAAGATACAAAGATACAAATTCTGTATATTACACCAAATCTCACCTGGGATTGTCATTTCCGTTGTTGGCCAGAGAGTCTCCAACGAGAATTTCAGCTCCGCTCAGTCTCTCACTACAGCAGTCACCTCTATTGGTGATGGTGATGTAGGCAATTTTATAAGGTCTGAGCAGGTCCACCCTCCACCAAGGAGACAGGTCATTGTGTGTATGTGAGCAGGAGCCGTGGAAGGCGTCCGAGTCCAGGTTCCCATCTATTGCATTTATGGCATTGGTCAGATAACCATTATCTTGGCTCCGGTAGATTGAGGACTGAGTGGCTTGACCCTGGAGGGCAACATTCTCATCTGTTGGGAAGCATTAGAGAGAAGATACAAACATTTTCATTATATAAACATATTCTATTGATCAGTCCACTTCCCTATCTACTGTATGTGAAATGTGTTGGAGGGCATTATAGCACGTCCAGCTATACCAAGAAGCAGTGGTGAGGCACAGTGACATCACCAGCGTCTACTGGAAGTTGGGCCAAGGTACATTTCTTTTCTTTTTTTCTTGCAACAGCTTCATTTTTTTATAGGTATTTGTAGGTAATATGACTTTGTGTAATGGAAGTCTTTCACTAAAGCAGACCTTCTGTTTTCATGGAAGGTCCGCTTAAAACCTCTTTCATTCCAGTCGCACCCATGTGTCTTTTGTGATGACTTTAAAACTCTCCGCAATGGTTTCTGGCTAATACTATATTTTGCTCTACTATGTCTTTTTATCATCATCATCCATCATAATTCAGGTCCTCGGTGGACTTTACCAACAGTCCTTACATGCTGAGGTAACACCACAGACAATCCACAAGATGGTAGCAGCGCGCAGAAACATCATCCTCGCAATCCAGAATCTTTGAAGAGAGATCTGATACATAAACAAAGAAATGAATAAATACATGTATCCCAAAAGAAAATGGTTATATGATAACAGGAGCAAGCAAAAATCATAAACAGGAACAAGCCAAGGTCAGGAGCCGGAGTGGGTAGTAGAATAAGGCAGGTCAGGAACACGGAGATCAGTGTTGTCAGGAACAAGCCAGGGGCAGGAGCCAGAGGAGAACGTCAGCCAGGATCGGGGCATACACGGAATCAGAATATACAGAGCAGCAGGAATGACTGGACTGAGTTGTTTATATAGTGAGTGGGATGACATCATCACTCAGAGATGATGCTCTCCTCCTGTTTTGCCATAAGAGGAAGCCTGGAAGTAGTGAGCAACGTTCCAGAGTGTGCTCAGACAAGGGAGGAATCACAGGTGGGTGGAATGGCAGCCGAGCCAGAATGCTGCAAACCAGTAAAGTCAGGGTGGAACCCTGACACCAATATGCTGTAAAAGACACAGCCACTGCAGAAGGCACACCATGTGTGTGGTATTACAAAACACAAATACATTCATGGTAAATCCCTCTCCTGGTTTTTGTTTTTATTTTTTGGAAAATATGTTTTCTTTTTCCCATTATATGTATTCAATTTACATACCTTACATCTTCTGCTAAGATAATATCCTTTCCCGGACAACGTCCACTCCCCTCCTCCCAGGACCTCCTGCTCTGTAGCCCCCTAATAACCTCCTCCCATGCTCACTTCCATGATCTCTCTAGAGCTGCCTCTCCCATCCTCTGGAACTCCCTACCCCATTCTGTCCGGCTCTCTCCTACTTTGTTTGCCTTTAGGAGATCCCTGATGTTGTATCTCCTCAGAGAAGCCTATCCTACCTCCTCCTAAAAAATCAAACAGTCAACTCCATGAATCCCTCGCAGTTTTTACCATCTGTATCACTTGCCCCTCATGATCAGGGTCCTTCTAACTCTCTTGGATGGAACTGTATTATAGCTGTACTGTCATGCTTCATATTGTAATGCTCTGAGCAAACACTGCGCTATATAAATCCTGTATAATAATAAGATAATGATACGTACGTTCGCTCCTAAATGGGCACCGTTACTACATCTCTCACCAGAAGATACCTACCAGCTTTTACTCAGGGGATGGTCGAATCTACTTACATTCATGACCAACATCACCAAACAACTGTGGCGGAAAGTACAATTTAGGATCATACACAGAGCATATTATGCCCTGAACTTCACACCATCCGCCGCCAAACACCACCTGGACCATTACATAGTTACATAGTATTTGAGGTTCAATAAAGACATT